TCGTAGTTAAGCCAAATGCCTGAATACTAATGGGAATCAGTCCTTTTTTTCTATTCAGATCGACCTACGAATTACTTTATTTTGAACTTTTATAAAAAATAAATATGGACATAGCAATTTAATTTCAGATGAATCATCCAAATTCGTCTTTTCTTCATGTAGATTTCCAAATGGAAGGAAACACCATTGCTAGAAGTTCTCTACAATCTGATTGTCGATAGGCAACCGTGTGCTCGCCAGCAAAGTGGCATTGACACTAGTATCGTTAATTCTAGCTCCTCGTCTTTACGATCGCATAAGGGTTCAAGCAACCTTTGTTTGTTGCAGATCGAGCATCAGCGATTAAGCCGTTGACATTATACACTTTGCCTATACCTAATCTTTGTATACTTATTTACTAATCCACCATTATAATAAATATATGATATATAATACAATTACATACTACTACTAAGTATAGAATATACAATAGGCACATTTTATATTTTATATCATAATCATATATAATAGTCCCTAAGATAAGCCCTACATAGTGCCTTACAATCCTTGGATCACCATGCACTTCTTTCGCAATATAAAAGAGTAGTCCTAACATACAAGAGTTAATTATTTGAAATTAGACTATCGGTGAGATTTACTCATGATACCTTCAAGATACGCTTGCCGGGAACAATGTAGATATGAAAATTTTTATAAAACTAACATATTTTCTTTTTGAGGCAACAATATAAATATCAAAATATTGAGGCAATTTATCACATTCCGTGATTGGATTTTGGTAGTAGAGGCATTCTTGAAAACATAATTTTGAACGAAACATCTTTAGCCTTGTTGATTGCTATAGAAAATACAAATTTGCTTTATCGAAAATCACACCACAGAATGTGATATTAGAAAGTACCCTGCCTTACCTGAATTTCACCCCTGTCCTGTGAGCTAACGGCACTCGTGGCATTGTGGCTTAGTTATATGAGATGTATCCTCAAAACTCTGCTTATATATGAAAAATTATCGCCTAATGTTTGATATGTCGATATTACTTCCCACACTGTAATGGTTCATGTCGCGCTGATGGTGTTGAAAAGACCTTATGGTAAAGTGTGGCTATATGAAATTCAATTACGATGTATGGTTTACTCATATCATAGTGGGAAAAATCTAAATACCATTACTTTTTATCACCTTAAACGAAATAGGGTGAATGTACTTCATATAGAAATGATCTACTGGTAGTCTTCAAAACATACTTAAAAACACGAATAAAATTAGATATTATTTTCTATTGCAGGAATTAAGACCAAAATTGTGTGTCCTTTCGTTGTATAATAGTTGGTTTATCTTGTTTTCACAATTTGCTCGTATTGTCAGCAAGACCTAGACCTTGATTGGAGTCATCCGTCCATTTAGATGGGAAATTTGGTTGTAAGGAATTCGTGAAATTGTCTCACCGTAAACTGAAGGAAGATCGCTGCTGAGTGAAAACTGTTGGATTGTGAGAAGAAGTCATAGACTGACAGGCCCGCGACCCCAATGAACCTGTGCTAAGCATGTTTATGTGCCGTCGTGACAAACATCATCATTTTGAAAAAGTGCAATAATATACTAAACCAACAGAAAAAGTGGCTGATCCAAGCAAAGGAGCTGATCTGTTTCGTTTATCATGCCAATTGGACAATGTCGTCAGGGCCGAATCTCATCAATTCACTCTCAGTCAAGTCGACATTTGGGGAGAGCAAACAGTAAAATCCCTTTTCAACAGACCATCTCACACCGAAATTCTTGAGTCTGGCTGGGCCGAGTGTCAAGAATGTGGACACAAAAGACACGATTTCGCTCTACACAGACGACGCTGCTGGGACATTCCACAAACTCACATCTACCGCTCAGACAAACGCGACAGTTCAATGTTGGGTCAGCTGACAGTTATGGGCATCCATGCGGCTCAATGAGTCTCCAACAAACGAGCAATGATCTATGGACTACAATCGTGTTCAACCAGCCTTTGCCCATTTATTCACC